AAGATATCTTTCCATATTTATGTGTTTTCTTCAGTTTCTTTCATCAATAATTTATAATTTTCAGTACACAGATCTTACATCTCCTTGGTTAAATTTATTCCTAAATATAATATATTTTTGGAACTATTGTAAATGAGGTTGTTTTGTGATTTCTTTTAAAATAGTTTGTTGTTATTGTATAAAAATACTATTGGTTTTTATATGTTGATTTTATATCCTGCAGCATTATTAGATTTGTTTGTTAGTTTGAAGAACTTTGGGGTAGAGTCTTTAGATTTCTGTATACAAGATCCGGTTGTCTACAAATGGAAAATTTAATTTCTTCCTTAAATATTTGGATGACTTATTTTTATTTCTTGCCTAATTTCTCTGGTTAGGGCTTCCAGTGCTACAATGAATAAAAGTGGTGTTAGTAGGCATCATTGTCTTGTACCTGGTCTTCAAAAAAAAAGCTTTCAAGTACTCACATTATATTATGATGTTATGTTATGATGTTATGCTGTTAGGATGTTAGTATGATGTTTAGCTGTGGGTTGGTCATACATGGCCTTCACTGTGTTGAGGTATTTCCTTCTTTACCTAATTTGTTGAGTGTTTTTATGATGAAAGAACATTCAATTTTCTCAAATGATTTTCTTTTGTGCATCTTTTGAGATAATCATATGTTTCTGTCCATCCTTGTGGCCCTATATAAATTCCAACTCATTATGCTGAATCATCCTTTTCACATGTGGTAAAATTTCTTTTACCAGGATTTTGTTGATGATTTTTGCATCTATGTTTATCAGGAAGATTGATCCATATGGCTCTATTTTTATTGTCCTTGTCTAGCTTTTGTATCAGGTTAATTCTGGACTCATAAAATGTATTTAAAAATATTCCCTCCAGTTTAATTTTTGAAAGAGCTTTAGAAGGATTGATGTTAGTACTTCTCTAAATGTTTAATAGAATTCAGTAGTGAAGTCTTCAAGTCTGGGGCTTTTTTTTTTTAATTTTTTTTTTCATGCAAGACTTTTTATTACTAATTCAATCTCCTTACTCTCATTAATTGTNTTTTTTTTTTAATTTTTTTTTTCATGCAAGACTTTTTATTACTAATTCAATCTCCTTACTCTCATTAATTGTTTTTTTTCAGATTTTCTGTTTTTTCATGGTTCAGTAGGTTCTTGAAGTATATTGTTAGGTTGTTTGTCTGGAGTCTTTTCTTCTTTTTTGACATAAGCATTTATTGCTATAAACTTCCCTTTCAAAACTGCTTATGTTTCATTTGATACATTTTATATATTTTACTTTCATTTTAATTTGTCACAAGATATTTTCAAATATATCTTTTGATATTTTCATTGACCCATTGGTTATTCAGTATTATGCTTTTTTAAAAAATTAATATGTGTTTGTTAATTTTTAAAAATTACTCCCTTTATTGATTTCTACTTTTATATCATTGTGATTAGAAAAGATACTTATTTTTTCATCTATTCAGCACTTTATATCTTTTGATTGGAAAATTTAATCCATCTACATTCAATGCAATTATTGATATGTAAGGACTTCCTACTGCCATTTTATTAATTGTAGGACTTTTGTCCTGTTCTTCATCTCTCACCCTCTTCCTTTGTACTTACATGATATTTTCTAGTATTATAACTTAATTTTTAAAATTTTTTATCTTTTGTGTATCTCCTGCAGGTTTTAATTTTGTGGCTACCACAAAGCTTATAATAAAATTACATTAACAGCCTGTTTTAAACAGAAAATAATTTAATTTTGATCATATAAAAAAACCTTAGATTTATTTACTCCACACTTCCTCCAAATTTTAAATTTGATATCACAATTTCATATGTTTATGTTATGCATTCCTTAATTTATA